TCCCCCCGCGCGCGCGGGCGGCGCGGGCACTGTCTGCCAGGGCGGCCGGCGGCAGCGGCGGTGCGCGGCGAGGCTGGCAGGGGCGAGAGCGCCCGCCTGAGCTGCCCCCGGGAGCCCGCCCGGCCGCCTCTCCTCAGCCGCCGCCGCTCGCCGGGGGGCGCGTCCCGCCCGCAGCCGCCTGCATGACACTCCGCAAGGGGGAGAGAGCGACCATCAGCATCCAGGAGCACATGGCCATCGACGTCTGCCCCGGCCCCATCAAGCCCATCAAGCAGATCTCCGACTACTTCCCCCGCTTCCCGCGCGGCCTGCCTGCCGCCGCCAGCCGCCCCGCCGCCCCGCCGAGCCGCCCGCCCCTCAGCCCCGCCGAGCCGCCCCGCGACGAGGACGAGGACGTGGACCGGCTCTTCGGGGCGTACGGCGCCAGCGGCCCCGCCGAGCAGCCGGCCCCGCGCCCGGCCGAGGAGGAGGCGGCGGACGCCGAGGGCTACGAGTCCGACGACTGCAGTAAGTTGCCAAGTCCCGGGTCTCCGAGCCCGCCTGCGGCGCTCCCCGGCCGGCCGGGCCCTGGGCTCGAAGCTCGCCTGGAGAGCCCCCGGCAGGGACCGCGCCGCCGGCCGGCGCCCTCGTCCCCGGCTGCAAAGAGCCACCAGTTGCCGCGGCTCTGCCCGGTCGGGGCGGGGGCTTCGCGGCTCCGCTCGCAGGGGGGGGGTTTGGGGCTCTCCAGGCTCGCGGACCGGGGCTCTCTGTTCCCAAGCGGCCGCTGCCCAGTAAGTCTCCGGCCAACCCCCCTCGTGCAGACGGAGCGGGAGCCGTAGGGGGACGGGTTGAGCATGCTAAGTGTTTCCCTTGTTCCATGCGGGTGTTTGCGGCTAGATTTAACCCCTCCCCACCCACAAGGTCCTTTCCACCCGCTCTTAGAGCCGTGGCGGTTCGGCTGCGTTGAACAGGGTGGCTGGATCCGCAGCTCCCTGTAATGAATGAAGAGGGGCCCGATCCTGTCAGGTGTTGAAGCCCGTGGGAGTTTCAGGATCAGGCCCAAAGTTTGAAACAAGGAGATGATGCGGGAAGGAGACTGGTTAAGAGCCGATATTGCCCGGCTGAGCCGAGCCTCACTTCCAGGAAAGGAGGACCCCCAGGGAGCTGCAGATGCTTTTTAGGGTCCCGCGTTGAGAAGGGTGTGGTCTTCTCTTTGGGAAATGTCATAGCCCTCTATTGTTGCTTCTATGCTTCCCTGCCTGTAGCTGGGTAAACTCAGGCTGCGGACAGGTGAGCCAGACCCTGATCACCCTGGAGTAACTCCCCTGAAGTCACTGCAGTCACCCTGGAAATTGTACAGCCACTTCTGAGATCAGAATCTGCCTGGTATGAATCCAGAGATCCAAACTGCTGGCAAAGTGGCAGAATTTGGGCTTTGGTGGCTCTGAGGCTGTGTGAACCCCAAACTACTCTTTTCTGTCTTCATGGCCTTGTAACCTGGGTTTGGTGGCACATGCCCTCTTCTTGGGAGCTGTCTTGCTGAGCCATTCCGGTCTGCAAGTGACGAAAGGGCAATATTCAGCTGAACTCCCAGCCAAACTGTTAATAACAACTTTAGCTGTATTTGGGTTATTTGCTGCTCTAATTATTGGATCATCTTTGTTCATCCTGACAATAGAAATTGGAGCATTTAGTGGTGGGGGCAGGAGCAAAGTGCTAAGGGGCTCTGCATCTCTTTCCTTGGCTACTGGGAGATCAGGCGCTAGGATTTCAGGGTGTTAGACTTTGGGCTCTAAAACCTACTTCCCACCCCCACTAAGTAGTCATTTGGAAGGACTAAGCGCATCCTGGTCCTTCTCACTGACACCATGGAATCAATTAAACTGGTTTCCAGTGGGCCAGCTGGTGTTTGTCTTGTTGCAGCTAAAGTTAAAAATATGTTTCTTACAGTATAACAGGTGGCAGCAAAACTGCTGATGCTGGTTTGCCAGATGTGGTTATTTTTCCACTAGTAAAGATGCAAGAACTAATAAGCTCTTCCTGCTTGCGACAGAGCAGTTAATGCTTGGTAATTATTTGTTCGACAGCAGCACCTAACCGTCCCAACCAAGTTCGGGGCTCCATTGTGGTAGGCACTCTATATACACATAGTAAGGAACAGCCCCTCCCCCTCAAAGTTTACAATGTAAATAGAAAAGACAGGTGAAAGAAGGATTATTATCTCTATTTTAGGGATTGGAAACTGAGGCACAGTGAGGTTGAGGGACTGGCCCAAAGTCCCACAGGAAGTCAGTGTCAGAGCTGGGATTTGGACACACAGCTCCTGAGTCTAAGTCCAGTGCCTTAACCTCACATCTTCACTGACTGATGCATGAATCTGGAATGCCCCTGTACACCTAGATAAATGTCTTGGCATACAAATAACAGTGATGATTTAGAAGCATTGGTGCCTTTACTCCTGGAGCAGTAAGTGCTGTGAGCAGGATGTCTGTGCAAGATACAATATAGGGACCTTCTGGGGTTGCAAAGGTCAGAACCCTTCCCAGCTAACTGGACTTTCTACAGGCTTTTCCAGGGAAATAACATTACCACTGAGACAGCATCTTGCCAAGCCCTGGATGATTTGAGTGAAGAGATGTCAGGAATCGTCCGCTCAGCTCAACGGAGCGAGGTCACTGCCCCACATGGGCCTCCGTATCAAAAGCTTCCCTCCTGGCTTGTGAGATTTCTTGCTGACCATGACGCAGCAATGCTAGTGATGCATCAGGTAGATACAGGCTGCTGATCACATCTTGCACTCAGCCTCTCTTGTTGAAATGCAAGTCTTGCCCTGCAGGAACTCAGGGAAACGTCTATTACTAGACATTATCTCCCACAGAGAGGATTCACAGAGCCCTCCCTATGGCTGCACGACTCACCTAGCTCCAAGGAGACACTCCCAACGATGGGTAACAGCACTCAGCCTTCGCTGGGGACGAACAGTGGGTATTGGCACAGCCTGGAGGGGAAGGATGATGCTGTGGTAATGCCTGGTCAGGTGATGTGGGTCCAATTCTTGGCTTGGCCAGTGATTCACTGTGTGAGCTTAGGCAAGTCACTTCACCAATCTGTGCCTCAGTTTCCCTACCTGTAAAATGGGAATAATGAAATGTACTCACCCTTTAGCGGGTAGTACTCCCTTCTGTTTGACCCTTTGGGATTATCAGGCAGCCTTGTACTGGGGTAGCCCAGAGTCTCCTTTCTAGTTTGATTAACTTCTCTAGCCTGATGTTATTTCATCACCACCTTTCTTTTTTGCTCCTCAGTTTGACCATTTCCCTTTGACACTGGGGTGTTTCCCAGCCCTGCCCCCCAATAGTTCCAGAGGTAACATCAGGGGGATTGGAGGAGGCAGGAGGTGGCCAGTTCAGAGAGAAATGGAACAGACCTGTTCAGCCTTCTGGCCTGACCCCCAACCTTGCCACCAATATAGGAATGTCTCCAATATGATCATAGAAAGAGACATTCTAGAAGGATCTGCTAGGTCCCATCTGGTTCATTCTCTGGACAGTGTGGGTTTGCTCCTTACAGTGGAGGTTCCAACCCTCAGTCCAATCTCATTTTAAAACGCCATCAGTAATCTACTCTAACCTTCTATCTCCTAGACACCCCTTCAAACTGTCTGCTTCTGTAGCAAGCAACTCCCCTCCTTCCAGAGGAGTGCAGCCTAAGGCACTCTCTTACTGAGGGGATTGGGGGAATTTTTTGCCTGAGTAAGAAGGGAAGAAAGACTGAGGACTCCACCAGGGTTTCAGCCCAGGAGGCAGAAGCCTTCAGTTACTCTCTTAAAAATGTCTACATCTCGTCTCCTTCTTAGACATCCTTCTAAATCTCCAACGGCTTAGAGAATGCAGGGAGAAAACCCGCTGTCTGCATCATTGCTTTTAAGAGCAGAACAGTGTGTTACTGTTTAATTCTGGTGCTTTGCTAAATCAAAACCATAAGGAGCAAAGAGGAACGAGGATTCCTTCGAGGGAGTGATGCAGACACAAGGCTTAGGGGTGCAGAGAGAAACCCACTGGGATTGGAATTTCCAGCTGCCGGAGATGGTGCATGCAGGCAGGGATCTGCTGCACTGGGTCTTCTTCACCAGGAGAGAGGGGCCGAAGGCTCAGCCTGGGCTCTGCCCTGACTGGCAGAGAGCAAGGAGGAATAGACTAGGGAGAGAGCACCTAGAGGAGGGAGCAGACACAGATTGCAGTGAAGGGGAATAGAACTGGCCTGGTTACAGCAGCTCTTCGGGGAGTTGTGGAAGATTTCGGAGGAGCTGAGGAAAACAACTCCAGTCCCCACAGACCAGCGAGGGAGAGGTGATAATCAGCTTGTTGAATGCCATCTGCAAGAGCTGCAGTGAGCGAGCAGGACTGGAAGGGACCAGTGGAGCGGGTAATGAGGGGGAGATGTCAGGGTGGCTCCAGGAGAGATGGGAGTAGTGTGGAGCCAGCCCTTACCATCACATACACGACTGGAGATGCTGGTTGGGGCGGGGGGAACTTGCAAGGTCCTTTATAATACTATAATGACTCATGGTCCTTCTGCAATATCTGTTATCCCTGGATCACCAAGCGCTTTGCGAACAGTGGTGAAAGAAGCCTCTCAAACCACTGACGGGCAAGTGGGCATGATCCCTGGCCTACAGACGGGGATGCTGAGAAACAGAGAAGGGAACAGTAAAGCCTAGACCATGTCTCCTGCCCCCTTGCCCTGTGCTCTGACTGCAGAGAAAAGTTGATGCAAAGGCAGGAGAAGCCAGTGAAGGAGCTGTGACAGAAATAAAGTCTCTGATGGATCAAAGGGATGAAGCTAGAAAGTTAAGGCCAAAGGAGAAATCTCTCCCAGTGGGGTAGTTGGTGGCACACCAGACCTGCTGGAGGGAGGAACAGCACTAGACAATTATACTCTGAGGGCCACAGAATTATTATTATTTATTATTAATTGCATTATTATAGCCTGTAGGAGCCCCAGTCATGGACCAGGACCCCATTTTGCAATGCTAGGGGCTGTACAAACACAGAACACAAAGACGGTTTCTGCCCCAGACAGCTTACAATCTAAGGATAAGACAAGAGATGGAAACAAACGGGGAGCAAAGGAAAATATTGAGACAACATTGGTCAGCATGCTCAGCACACCAACAGCCTAACATTGTCAAGAAGTGGGCTTTAAGCCTCAAGTGCAAATGCTGATTGTCATCAGTGGCCCTTATATTGTCTGTCAACCTGGGGGTGGAAGGGAGCCCTGAACTAGGAGTCAAGCAAGATTCTTTGGTTTCATCGCTGCTCTGAGCTTCCCTGTGACCTTGGATAAGTCACTCCACCTCCCTGTGCCTATACTGTTTTGTAGAGATAATGATGCTTCCCAGATGAGCTTGTGCATGTTTAGGGGGTGCTGTGTCCACCTCTCACTGTGGGGTATCAGTGTCAATGGAACATGCCGGATTTTTATTCCTGTACTCAGGTTGTGTGCTATGCATGATTCAAAATTTGCCT